CCTGCCTCTTTAATTTAGATAGATTCTAACTCTCATACAAAACTCCTTTCTTGAATCAGACTACTTGTTTGAATTCCAGTACCCTCCTTACTAGCTATACAAGCTTCGGCAAGTTATTTTACATCTCTGTGCCTCATCCTGATCATCTGGAGTGATAATAATTAGTACCTTCCTCATATGATCCTTGTGAGGATTAAAAATGATGTAAAAAATTCAATTCAAAATCCAGTCAATGAAAAATGAAACCTTTAAAAAATGAATGGTTATGAAGAGTTAAATCTTTTTTTTTTAAGGTCATCTATATTCACATAAAAAGTGCTGTGTATGCTGTTTACTTCTAGTAAGTAGGATCATGAGTGATTCTTTTACCTTCTTCTTGTTTTTCTAAATTTCAGAATAGTCTACAATGAAGTATTACTTTGTAGAGATACAAAATCGATCAATTTGTACATTTCTAAAACTGGTAATTTATGATGAAATGAAGAGCTAAATATGATAATATAAAATGTATTTTTTTCCTTTTCTTCTAAAGGACCATATAATTTTAGAGACTGATGGAACCATTACATTAGGTGGTCACCTAGTTCAGCCTGTAGTTCACAGGAAAAAACTTTTAAAAATTCATTCATTTATTCACAAATATGTATTGAGTGTCTACTACATGCTAGACATGGTTTTAGGCTATGAGAACAAGCAACAAAATAGTGGCAGACAAGTGACAACACACAAAAATGAATGTAGGTCTACTGTCTATTATCCAACCACTTTAGGGCCAGATATGCTGAAAATCCAGAACGTTTGGATTTTAGAAAGGTACATAGTGCTACCCTGCAGGTCTGTAATCGAACATTAAAATGTCTAAAGTAAAATGTATTAAAGTTCATACCAAATGGAATGAATATAAAAACAGCCTCACATCAAATCAGATCATTTTTTAATCACCAAATGAGTTCAAGCCATACCAGGTATTGCTAACAAATGAAGTGTGATAAACTTGAGGCTTTCAGAACTTTTTAGATTTCAAAATGTGGATAATGGCTTGTGGCTTATATGCAATATGTCAGGTGGGGTAAGTGCTACGGAGAAAAAGAGAGTACGGCAGACAGGGAGCATGTGAGTGTGTGTGCATGCATGTTGTGTGCATGGACATGCAGTCAGGAAGGGGCTCTGTGACACTACAGCAGAGATGCAAGGGCGTGAATTTTGAAGATAAATGGGTGCAAAGTATTCTCAGCAGAGAGAGGAAAAGATGCAAAGGCTGAGGTGGAAATATGTTTGGTATGTTTAAGAGGGGACAATCAAAAGTGAGTGTTAGGAAATGAGGTCAGAATGGTGAGGGGAGTAAAGTAGGGATTCACCTAGGGCCGTGAAGACCATCTCAGCCTTTGCTGAGATGAGAAGAAGGAGGACATTTGAGGGTGGACTGTGGTTGGGACACAGCTTGGATTTTGACATTTTAAGTCTGAGATAGCAGTTAGTCATCTTCTCGAATTATGCTCTTTACTGCAACTGCCATTAGCCACTAGCCACATTTAATTTTAATTAAGATTATTTCCTCAGTTATACGAGCTACATTTCAGGTGCTCAATAGCTGCATGTGGACAGTACAGATAGAGAATATTTCTCTCCTTGCAGAAAGTTCTACTGGACAGCACTGTCCTAGGAACTGTTTTATTGAGTGCCTACTTGAGGCAAAGTAATGGCGTCAGAAAGATAAATAAGGAGGACTCCCTAGTTTGAAGGGACTTCCGGAGAAAAGAAAGAAGTGTTAAGTACTAAAATGAGTTCAGTATAAAATGTGTTTGAAACTGATTTTGTTGGGGCAAACTATATGAAACATGGCTTCTTACAAAGAAGAGTCCACTTCACTTTGGGCCCCGACACCACTCAATTTGTTTCTATTAAATGCTCACTAGCTCTGGCCTCAGTTGAAGGAGATATGGCAACAAGGTCACAAAAAGTGGTAACAGAGAAGAATTCTGAATCTCTAGTACTTTAAGCGACACTAGGCACCAAAGTAGTGTGAATCAGGAAACCTTTCCCCCAGACTCCTTGATTTCCTCCTCCTCTTTTCCTCTCTCATCTTGTTTTAGCTATATTTTAAGTTCTAAGCTACCTGAGGGCAGAAATACATTCTTTTCATACTTTTGGTTTGGGAAATTGTAACAGCAAATGCATTTTCTCAGCTATGACTTGGATAGATAATCTGCCAAAAGCTTTCTGTTTCACATACAGATTTGAGAGGCAGTTTGAACTCTGAAACAATGGCATTTCTGAGATAGTTTATGCAATAAAAGGTAGAATAGTTGAAATTGGGAATGTTTCAGAAAGCTTGAGATGTATAGGAACCAAACATACACAGTGTACTATTGCTGTGCAGTTTAACCAATTCATGCCAATAAAGTGTTTCGATCATGATTTCACTCTTAGTTATTTTATTTTGTCTTTTATAAGTTCAGGATGTGTTCTATTTCCATTACCTAAATATAACCTGTCAAGATAGTCAAATAGAAAGTATTTCTTTCTATTGGGTTGTCAGAAAAGTCATGATGTATTTTTTGTTTTTTGTTGCAAAAATGTGTAATGACTTTTCCAAGAACCCAATATACTACTAGACACATTCAATCTTTTATGAAATTATGTTTTGTCTTTAGCTTTGTTTTAATTTGATTTGACTGCTGAGTAGCACTGAGTCAGAAAATGTTAGCTGCCATATTTGCAGATTGCCAACTTGTGTACGTATTTTTATATCTTGATGGTTTCCTGAAAGTAATTTTAGCTATCCAGAAAAACTGGATATATAATTAAGAATATATTATATATTCTTTTATATATATATATATATATACATACATATATATATATATATATATATATATATATATTTATTTTATGCCCTCCTCCCCCCATGAGGCATATATGTGGACTTAAACCCAAGAAGCTGGTCTACAAGTTGATTCGCTGCAAATGTTTTAGAAACATGTGCAGCTTTGCTCAGTCAATCCATACTCTCCTAATAGTATAGTTCAACTTTTACTGTCTTGAATCACAGAAATTCTGGGGTTGTTTGTTATAGCAGTAATTTTCCATAATTAATAAACCCTCTATCATTTTTTATGCTAGAAATTAGGTCAATTACTAAAAAATTTTCACTTAGTGTTTAGGCTCTGAATACCAATAACTCTCATTACAAGATAGATAAAATATTTAAGTACATATCAGAAGCATACTGAATTTGATGCTGAGAAAATCTTACTGCAGGATAGAAGCAAGGATCAACAGCCCTTGGCTGGTTGCCAGTTGAGTCATCTCTTAGATGAATTCTGAATTCAATGAAGTATTTATGATACAGAAAAAGAGTTGTTTAGCCAAGTTTGGAGAAATACCATAAAACATCCATGTTCAAGTTGTGAACTTTTCAAAACAGGTCTGGACTGAGTTATTGAGGAAGCAAAAAATGGGGGGTAGATTCAGTTAAAACTTTTTTCGCCTGTTCACAAACAAATACTCTTCAGTCCAAATGGATAAACACATACCTGGTACATCTGGGCACTTTCCCTTTGAAAATCTGTATAGAAAATGTGGTCGTCATACTGACAGATACAGCTTGCCACACTCCTCAACTACCTTGACTTTTGTAAAAACCACTCATTGTTTTTTTGTTTGTCTTTAGCACTGCCCGTGGCTTGATTCTCAAATATAACAAAGTTAGGTTTGACAATTGCTAATCCTAGTTTTCACTAAACCGAAAAAAATAAACAACCCCCCCCCCACAAAAAGCTGAATATTTTAATTCAAATGAATTATCTGAGACTTTTAAAAGGGGCAATTATTACATAAGTTGTTTGCAAAGAATACAATATTAAATTAAATGCTTTAATTTCCCCTTCTTTAATAATTAAATTTAAGTCCACAATGTAGTAATATTAGTCCCGATTGCAAGAAAATTTCACTAGATATAAAAGCTTAGGAGTTTCAGCATTGTTTTAACATATGAATGTGTTACATAATATTTAAGGCAAAAATCAAAAGATGTGAGTATTAAAAAAAAAAAGCAACCTCTATCTTTGCATAGGGCGCTGCCACCTTCTAACAGAGCAGCTGTCACAATGCGTGTGGCACAACTGCCTTTACAGAATGCCAAGGTGCCATGTGACTTGTTTCAATCCTGAGCTAACGTGACTTGTTTCCAATACAAACTAGCATGATATAAAATAAACTTTTGATAAGAAGCTCAAAGACAAAGAGGCACTGAGCACCTAGCATGGTGCTGAACACACAGTTTCCTCTTAATACATGTTTGCTAAATAATAGTTTTAAGATACAAATATAAATTTTAATCCACATATTGGCTTTACTGATGCAGGTGTTTATGTCTTTATCATGTTTCAAAAGGATTTAAAGCAAGTAAAAAACATGCATAAAATATGATAAAGATAAACTGGGAGTAAATAAAAGTTGCAACAGGGAAATTGTATCAGATGGAGCTAGTAAGCATCTGCTTTACAACTTCATCTTCATTGTATAAGATAAACTACACAGTATCTTTCTAGGAAGAACCATGCTATTTCAATTGTTGTATCTTCTTTTCTAAAAGTATACAGAATGGACACCAAATAGGGTTTTTTCCTAATGAGGAGTCTGAGAACTAGGAATCCATATTTTGACTCAAGAAAACATCTTTAGTTCCAGAAATCATTGCTTAGAATAAATAACAGAAGAGAAGACAGTGCAGACTCTAGATGCAAGCAAGTTTAGTAAAATCTGGGGGGAACCAGAGAACAAGGCCCTTCACAGATTTACCTATGCACAGGGAATAGCAATAAGTAAAAGTGTGCTTGTGACATGTATTATGGAACCAAATGAACAAAAACCACTAGAAATCTATATTTAAAACAAACAAACAAACAAACAAACAAACAAACAAACAAACAAACAAACAAACAAACAAACAGGAAGCATAAACCACTTTACCTCAGACACCCAGAGAGTTCACTTACCTATTGCTTGAGCTAAGGCTATTACAACCTCCTGGCAAGTTGTGACTTCGGTGACCCCACAAACGATCCTCTGAACTCCATCCACCCATACTTTAAGTTCCATGGTGTACCAGCCAGTCACCCAAGGGCCCTGAGACTGGTCATCAAAGGTGTCAGGTCATGTCTCTGGCTATGGAAACTTGGAGAAGGCAGTCTGTACAGTCAGCTAAAAAGAGGAGAAATCATTTTTAATAGACTGTATCTTAATATTCCCTTCTAGTAAGTAAATATTACACAAATTTTAATATACCATAATCCTACTATCATTCATGACCATGTGCTTGTTTATTTTACAGAACTGAATTCAGCAGCATGAATGCAACTATAACCACCTATCATGACATTGTTTCATATTACTATTTTCAAAGTTATAATTTTAATCATAAAGTCACTCTCTGTTGAGTTTATTTACTCATCCAAGCCCTACCGCTCTCAACATATAAGCTGTTTCTCTTTAACACAGATTATTTCATTAGGGTCATTTCTGAGGTTTAAAAGAAAGAAAAAAGAATTTTGTCATTTTAGGAATCATAAATAATTGAACCAGTTTCTACAGCCTTGCCAGCATTTCTAGAGGAATCTTTGTAACTCTACTGCATTCCTTTGTTTCACGTGTTCCTTGCCTCCCTCTCTTCTCCAAAGGACTGAGAGTATCGTCTTCACCAATGAACCTCCAACACCAACTGCAGCATAAGGCTCAGGTGTACAGAAAATATTAGTTGGAGGCAATGCATTCCTTTGATGGCGGACAACTTCCCTGTATACAGACTGCTTGTCCTTTTCTCATTTATTTAACTGGGGTTTGAGAATTTTCTTAAATTATAAGAGTTATTCTAATAATATAAACCTTAACCTTTTGTTATACTTGCTGTTTTTCCCCAGTGTTTGATTTTTTTTGTTTGTTTAGCTGCATTATGTGCCAAGCAGAAATTTTTACTTTCTCATAGAGTCAAATCAAATGCCTTGGTTTCTTCTGTTGATTTGAATATTATTAGTCTGCTAAAAATCAATTATACATGATCCTTTTTCTTGTGGGTTTTTAAAATCTCAACTCTTCCTGTGTTAATCTATGATTTGTCCTTTGTCCTATGATTGTCCCATTTTTGTTGTTGTTTTTAAAAAAGAATGCTAAAGTTTATAAGAAACATTGATTTAATTAAAGAGAACAAGGTATACAACGGAACTGTTGTTTAGAGGTTAATAACTTATTGAAAAGTTTATTTTAAAAACCTAAAAATTTTTCTTGTAAAACAGTATTTGCTACAACAGTAACTTAGTCCTTGTACGTTCTCTTACAGGACCTAAGACAGGTCTGGGCCACCTGGTCATCTGCAAAGATGAGTCAGAATACATGTGAAGCAAAGGAGAATAAACCTAATAATAAACATACTTTCTCCAGAGAAGTTACAAAAATACTTTTTGTCATCCTGGAAACAAGGGAAAGGGCTGACTGCCTGTTAATTTCCCAGCATGCTCCTTTAGCTCTCCCTGCATACGCTGCAGTGCCAGGTGGCTTCATAAACTCCCTCTAACCAGAGAAAGGACCATTTGCCTATGACAAGCTGATTTCCACAGCGTAGTCCTCACTTAGGAAGCGCTGTGAGATGTTCAAGTTTCTGGAGGAAAAAAAGGATCCCAAAACCAAAGAAATGCAAGAAATCCAGGAAATAAAGTAAAACAAGTTCCTTTACAGCTAGACTTCTCTGAATCTTTAACAGGCTGGTAAACACTCTAAATTTCAAGTAAGAGGTTTATATGCTACTGTCCCCAATCCATTTAGAGAACATTTAAGGAAAGGGAACAGAATGAGTTCTGACTTAAAACAGAATTTGTTTTCTAAAAATAGAATATGTATTATTCTTTTTTGGGATATAATAAGATTAAAATAGATTCAAACAATATAGTGTATTAATGTATTAAAATTAAATTATTTTATTAAAATAAATAAAACTCAGCTGAATTAAAAAAATAAAAAGCTCAGCTGAATTAAAATCTACTTAATACCTAGTCCCTTGTTTTTTATTAAAAGAACTTAAGCTTGGGAAACCTAACAAGAAAGACAGCAGATCTCATTAAAAGTCATACTCCTCACAAAGAAACTTGTCATTTCAGAGAAACTTATGAGGCTCATTTTAAGTTCTATAAAGGTTTCAATATATCACCACATATTTTTCTATCTAAACTATTGTTTTACCTTGAGCTTTTAATCAAGTGAATACAAATGAACATAAAACACATGTATATCTGTTAAATATCACAGAGTACAGTAATGTTGTGGGAAAACACTGAACATAAATAATACTGCTTAGTTAATATAAACCTGCAGGGTATTTCTCCACTTGATCAGAGGCTTCCTACCACGCTCATCCCAGAGAAGAACAGTGCCTGTGTGTCTGTTGTGATACCATCAATAACATCTTTCAAACTTGAATTCTTAAGGAGGGTAGGATCAGATCAATGAAACTCAGGGTCCAAAACTGGATTACTCGGAGGGCCACTATTTCTAGTAGATGGCTTCTATCAAGTTTGGGGCTGTACTGACAATCATTCCAAACTTCCCTAAAAATCATGGTGGTATTCATGAGAGTCATTTAAAGAGTCTGCCCCACTCCCTTCACAGTTGAAGCCCCTAGTACTCCCTTCCAGGCGCTGCCACACTACTCTATTCCTCAGAGTCCAACTCCTGCAGCTCTGCTCCCAGCCCAGAACTAGACTAGAGGAAAATGAGAGTTCTACACTGTAGGTGCATGTGATGGATTGGTCATCTTTGGAGCTAAAGACTCAGGAAGCGAAAAGCCTTTGGCATCTGAGGTGGAATTTGGAATAAAATTTTCCATGGAAACAGTGATGTAGGTAGAAGTAATATTCTACTGTAAGGGTATTAATATAGTTCAATTATTGTTTTCATACTGAGGTTTCTATATTCAAACCACTATTATCTTAATTTTGATAATGAAGAACTAGGTTTATTAAGTAACATGCTACTGGGGAACAAGTGTTCTTTGGCTAAGAATCATTTATTACCTTAAAAGCCTATTGGAATTAAGCATTTGCATTTGTGGAAACAGATGCTCCCAAGACCAGTGTTTTAATAAAGCAATTAACAGTCAATCCTCATTATTCGTGGATTCCTTATTTGTGAATTTGTAACCCCAAAACCAACACTGTGGCACTTTCATGGTCATTCCCAGACATGTATGCAGCAGTGAAAAATCTGAGTTGACCAATCCGCACATTCCCAGCTGAGGCTGGACAAAGGCAACGCTCTGCTTCTTTCTGCTTTTAGCAATGTCAAGTGTCCTTTTCTCAGTCTATTTAGTGCCATGTTTTTGCTTTTTGGTGATTTCATGGTTTAAAATGGCCGCTAAGCATAGTGCTGAAGTGCTGTCTCATGTTTCTAAGCGTAAGAAGGCTGTGATGTGACTTATGGACAAAAATACGTGTTGTAAGGTACGTTTTATTCAGGCATGAGTTATAGTGCTGTTGGCTGTGAGTTCAATATTAATGAATCAACAGTATATATTAAATAAGGAGCCTTTAAACAGAAAAGCACATAAAACAAGGTGGTGATCAGTTGATGGAAACTGTTGTGACCAAAGGCTCTTGTGAATAGCAAGAATTGACTGCACATTTTTACGTGGTGTAACTTCCTTGTGATGGCAAACATCAAGCTACTGAGCAAACTCCATGGCTCCCTGGACCCTACACACAAGCATACAGGTGGTTTATTGCCAATTTTAACATTTCCTTCATTGCTGGTTTTGCTCAAGATCTGACCTTACTGCACATCAAAGCATTTTTTTTGTAAAAACAATATACAGATAAACTGGGTTACAATAAAATCTTCACAATCAGGTTAGCTACTTTAATTAAATCAAATACTGATACTAGCCACTAATTCTTTTGGCATCACAGAGAAAGAGATTCAGCACGATGAACACGGGATATTCTGAATAGTATTTATTAGAACTACTAATAATCAAATACTAAAATTCTCCTTGGTATAAAACACTGGTAAAACAATAAAAACTAAAGGGAGTTTAGGCTTCCTCATCCTAAAACTAATTTGATGTGGAAATTAAATAAAGTTATGCAGAACAGCTGTTACCAACTAGAAAAGTATTAACTTTTTAATGTTCAAATGATTACTTAGGTAAGGAAAAAAATGTTTATGGGTACCTGTTGCCTGTGGAGGTGGGAAAGGAACCGAAGGTGAAAGAAAAAACAACCTGGAGAACATGATAAGCAGCAGCACAATGTGGAAAGTCTAATCATGTTCATGTCTGTTCTGTTACCTCGCCCTCCCCCTCACGGATCACACAGACCAATAATCTCCTGCACTAATTCAGTTCACTTCTGTATGATTTCTGCTACTTGCAGTGCGGTGAATACTGAATAATCCAATAGTGGTATCAGGCCAGTAAAGTCTGAGATACTCTGATGACACAAATGTAGATGTGACAAGAGTTTGACAGATGTGTCAATTCTAGTTTTTCTTAAACTAAACGACAGACTATATACCTATTATAGTGCTGTAGAAATGATTAATAGAACCCCAATTTTTCTTTCTCTTAAGTGAAAAGTCTTTATTGTCACAATTAACCCATCTCTTCTAAAGATGGGTTTTATAGTTTTCTTTTTAGAGACTCATATATATCATAGGTTTTTTTTCTTTGATAGTATTTTTTTTAGAAGTTCACAATGCTAAGCAATCTCTGCATATTAATTATTAAGTCCAATAAACCCATGTTCTTTCCTTTACTAGTCATCACCTTCAGGTCAGTCACAGCATTCAAACACATGCAATGGTTTAACATTTCCCAAATTTTACATGCTCAAGTGACCATTCTGCAATTATGGTAAGGAATGGCTGAAGCACTTCCTATCTTCTGAGGGTGGCGTATCGTGTCTCATTTATTCCCCACAACACAATTCAGCGAGTTAGGTAGCATTAGCTTCATTTTAAAGATGAGAAAAGTAAGTCTCAGAGAGTTTAAATAACGAACTCTCCCAAGGTCATAAACCTAGTAACTTAGGGACATATATTCAAAATTAGGATAAATAAAGAAACTAAAGAATGAATAAGGTAGCCTTTTCCAAAAGGACTCACTGTATCCAAATAAGTGTTTTTTAAATGTCCTAAGTTACATTAAGAAATCTCAGCTA